TTAACACAAATCTGATAGAGATCTCTCTTTCCTGCCACCTGAAAGTCAATTTCTTGTAAGTTGTTAAATTTCAGAAGTTTTTCTTTCCAATCATCGTCAACACAGCACTTGGGAGACACAAATAACTTAGGAAAAGGTACTTTAGAAGGACCTCCAGACAAGAAACAGTTGACAAACAGAAGAAGTGTAGAGGGAAAAGCGGCTTTCACCCCACCAATGAGCTGCTTTACCATTCTAACAGATCTGAAGCCGGCCTGACTGCAAATGTCAACCTCTGACTTCCAAGTTTTAGTTGAAGTATTTATCAAGTCAGAAACTTTGATCAATTTCTTCTCCATAAAAGTTTTAACAATTGTATTGTATGTGCTAACATTTACTTCTAAAAGTGAGTTATTAAAAAGTGGTTCTTCAAGACCAAAATGATTGTTTTCATGTCTAATCAGTTTAAACCCTTTCCAAATGTTTAGCACAGAAGCATAAAATTTTAAATCAGTTGAAAAATGTCCATCATAAGAAGACAACAGAAACAGATGTCTATCAAGGCCAAAACCACCAAAAGACCTGAGCAGAGCCCGACCAAAAGACACCCAAGGTCTAGCATCTACAGAGTAGAGTAGGTTTTGGACTGCATTTAGCCTCATAGCTTTAACCTTAGCTACCAAATCAATTACTCCTTGGCCCCCCTCATTAACTGGCAAGTAAAGGATTGCAGGGGGAAGCCAATGGTATCCATCCCAAAAAAAATCTACAAAAATCTTCTGTAGTCGTTGCAGCAAGTCTTTTGGTGGTTCAAGTACATTTAAGCGGTGTCACAACATAGAAGCTGCCAAGTTGTTAATTATAAGCACTCTTCCTCTATAAGATAATTGTGGGAGAATCCATTTCCACCTTTGCAAACGTCCAACAACTTTTTCAAAAATACCATCCCAGTTCCTCTGAATATAATGATCAGTCCCGAGAAAAACACCTAGCACTTTAAACCCTTCCCGACTCCACAAACAGTTCTGGGGGAGTACTGGGTGGTCTCTATCGTCCCATTCTCCTATCAAATAGGAAGCACACTTTTCCCAATTAATTCGAGAGGAGGAGGCTTTTTGATAAACCTCCAGAGTAGCACTCAGGTCCTTGACATCCTGAGTTGATCTGATGATAACAGTCACATCATCTGCATAAGCAGCGAGTTTGGTTGTTGCTAGTTCCAAGGGAGATGAGCAAACTGTTGATATGCCACTCAACTTACTTCTTAGTGCAATCAGTAAAGGTTCAATTGAAATGGCATACAGAATTCCTGAGAGGCCACACCCCTGTCGTATGCCTCTACTCACTCTGAAGGGTCTTGTTAAAGTGCCATTAATTTTTAGCATACTGTGTATGTCCGTGTACAAGAGTCTTATATGGGCAATAATAGATGGCCCGAAACCAAATGCCTTAAGGCACTTAAACAGAAATTCATGATCTACCCGATCAAATGCTTTCTCTTGGTCCAAAGAAAGAAAACCAACATCGAGATTGTGTAATTTAGCAAAAGAAATTAAGTCCCGAATTAAAAAAATGTTATCAAAAATAGACCTTCTTGGAATGCAGTATGATTGATCTACATGGATTATTGAGGAAATGTAAAGTTTAATCCTGTTCGTAAGACACTTTGAAAGTATCTTGTAATCAACTCCTAGTAGGGAGACTGGACGCCAGCATCTGATGTCTTCAAGATCACCTTTTTTTGGTAAAAGAGTGACTACAGCTCTGCGAAGGCTCACAGGAAGTGTGCCCCTTGTTAAGCTCTCTATAAAAACAGCAAACAAATCTTCTCCGATAATCGGCCAAAACTGTTTGTAAAATTCTGTATTAAGTCCATCTAGTCCTGGAGTTTTGCCCGAAGACATCTCCTGAACAGCTGTAGAGAGTTCATCAAAAGTCAATAATTTATCCATCATGGATTTCTCTTGATCTGAAAAATGTGGTAAATCCTGAAGGAGAACATCAGCCATTTCTTCATTGCATGGTTCAGCACTGTACAATTCCTCATAAAAGGACAAAGCGTGTGAAATGATTCCATGAGCATCAATAATCCTTTTTCCATCTGGACGTTTTAAACAGCTTAAAATCTTCTTATCTACAACCTTCTTCTCCATGCCGAAAAAAAAGATGTAGGGGCATCCATATTGTTAAAAGTCGTAAATCTTGCACGGACAAGTTTTTCTTGAGCTTTTTCTTTCAATAAATTCCGCAAAAGAAATTTGTTACGCTCCAAAGTCTCCACAGAATCAACAATGTCACCTTCAAAATTAAGTTGAAGAATTTCCTGCTCAAGCTGTGCCATCTCATTGGCTAGAGAGTTTTTAAAATAACCAGTGTACTGCTGGCAAAACAGTTTGATTTGAATTTTGCCAATGTCCCACCATTGACTCAGGGACTTATATTGTGTTTTTTTCTCTCTCCAGATCTCCCAGAAATAAGTGAAAGAGTGCACAAAGTTGTGATCTAATAATAATCTGCTATTAAACTTCCAATATGCATGTTTAGAAGTGCTCTCTGCAGTGGTGATATCAGTAGATATGAAGTGATGATCAGATAAAGCAGTAGGAACTATACAACTCTTATAGAAGTGGTTTCTTTTACTTTTTTGAACATAAATTCTATCTAACCTAGCTCCAGAAACCATGTTGCGGTTTACTTTCATCCATGTATATTGTCTAGTCTGGGGAAAAGATTCTCTCCAAACATCAACAAGGCTATGATGAATAATCAAGGACTGAAGTACATCTGCTGATTTACTGTGAGGTTCTTCATGGTTTCGATCTAATGTATGATTCAAAGTGCAGTTAAAATCACCAGCTAGTACAATGGTCCTGTCAAAAGGTATGTGACTTAAAGCTATTTTAAGTTTTTCAAAAAAAGAGACACGATCTGACCCAATATTGGGTGCATAAACGTTAACAAAGGAGAAATCAATTCCGTGAATAGTCACATCAACTCTTAACAAGCGACCAGAAACTATATCAAAAACACTACAGGGTTGTTCTTTATAATTAGATGCCAGCAATATAGCCACTCCTGCACTAACACTCGTGCCATGACTTAAAATCACCTGCCCTTTCCATTCATTCAACCACTGTATTTGATTGTTAACATCTGTATGTGTTTCCTGCAGAAAAACCACACCAGCACTCTTCATCATAATATAATCAAAAAGACTAGCCCTTTTCATAGCATCACAACCTCCATTAATATTTAATGAGCTGAGTCTCAAAGGTGCCATGAAAATAAGTATAAAAAGGGCCTTCAATAATACCAATCCATTAGAATAAAACCTCCATAACCAAGACATGCTCATTTTAATCTTGTCCGTTTAAAGTACTTCTAACATTACCCATGAGTTTTCTCAAACGATATCTTTTAGGTTTGTCAAGTTCATATATAGATGCTTTTCTCATTGCCATTGTAACAGACAGCAGAAACAGTTTTAAATCAGGAAAATAAGATTCTATTTTGGGTTTGCGAAGTCCTTTTGTAAAGTCAAGAAAGTTGTTAATCTGCTGAACTGAGTAAAGTTTAGTCTTACCTCCAGAAGTAGGCCGTAAATCCATCATTTTTGGTTCCATTAATGTTGCATCATCCTCATCTTCCTTGTCAGAACAATCCATTTGTACATTTAAATCCGCAAAGTCTTGAGATAAAATATCATCTTGACTTTGATCCAATGTATCATTTATATCACTCTCAGTTTTATCCGCGTCGGTTTGTTTATCAAAACAAAGTGGATCGATCTCAGACGCTTTTTCCAAGCAAATCTGTTCCAGGCTCGTTTCTGCCTGCGGTACAGCATTACTCGGTCCGGCCACCTCCTCAGGAGCCCCTTCCAGGCCGTCTTTAGAGGCGACTAGCACCGGGTTATCGGGCAGGTCGCCCGGCACCTCAGTCGCCTCACCCGGTCGGGGTTCTGAAGCCCCGGCCGCCGAAACAACCTCTGTAACGAGCGCCTCCTCGCTGTTCTCCGCATCTGCAGTCGGAGCCGCAGGAGCGGCCACAGGTCTGTCTCGATTTGGACAACTTTGTCTAACGTGATTAAAACCGCCGCAGACAAAACACTTCATAGAATCTGAGGTGATAAAAATTGTATAATCTTTACCATCAATACTTAGTTTCACTGACAGATTTAGTGGATCATTCGGAGAATTCAAAATCATAAAGGTCTGACGCCGAAAAGACATCACATGTTTAATTTCAGGGTTTTTGCATCCAAGTGGAATCATTTTGATGGGACTTACTATTTTACCATACTTCTGGAGTATTTGATCTAGTTTTTCGTTTTTAACAAACGGAGGTACGTTTGATAAAACAACTTTCTTGGATGGACTTGACAAAGGCAAAACCGGTACGAATGCATCTTTGATTATCAGCCCCGATTCAATTAGGTTATCTACCATTTGACTTTCACTCAGAAAGAACACGATTGCCTTATTCATGCGGGAGGCTGATTTGATATTAGTACCACCGATCGCCAAACTAACAGCGATGAGACAGTCCTCCACAGAAACCTGGGCGTCAGGTATACATTTACACCCATGTTTGAGTGTTAAACGCGAGAAATCTCTCGCATCTGAACTCATCCTCCTCCTCGCTCACTGACCGATGTCAGGGATCAGAAAAGGAGGGAAAAAACAACAACTCTAATCTAGCTCTATAATTTAGAAGGGAAGGGATAGTAAAGAAACAGAAATTTTCACTCTCACAGAGAGGTACTCTCACCCGAATCTGTCCACACACTCCCAGCATGCACTCGCACAGAGAGAGAGAGAGAGAGAGAGAGAGAGAGAGAGAGAAAGAGAGAGAGAGAGAGAGAGAGAGAGAATGAAAACAGGGCTTGCTGTGCATCTACATCAGCCAGAACAGTATTACTGTCAAGACATCTCCTTCCATCATCATTCGTCCAAATGAAACCAAGCTATAATATTTACCCTGACCCAACACATACATAACACAGTCTGTCTTTATCTCACCATATATAATGGGTTGTCGAACACATTATCGATATCCACCTCACTCTGTAGCTTTGATGTATCAGCCTGTGTAAAGAAGGAAGGAATTAATACACAGTTTAATAATAAATACAATCACAACTTACTGGGTCTTTGCACTAGCATGCAGCAACGTATGAAGGTCACCTGTGGGTTGGTGCTGTTTCTTATTGTCTCTCTAACTCATCTGTGTCCTTCTCTCCCACATACTCTATTTCTTCTTCCTGTCACATCTTCAGAATAACTCCTGGTGTGTGGGTGTGTTTAGGGTGTTCTTTTGCTACAGTGTTTCAACAGCAGCATTATATCGATATACCTTAAACATTTAGGGTATAGGGTTTGGGTAACACTTTAGAATAATGGTACATTAGTTAATGTTAGTTAATGTATTTACTAATAATATCTAAGTATGAATAATCTTTTAAAGCATTTTTTAATTACAGTTCATTATCTAATTCATTATTAAATCCAAAGTTGTGCTAGTTAACGTTAGTTAATGCAGTGTGTTAATATGAACTTAGTTCAACTTCAATAACATTAACTAACGTCAACAAACATGAATAAATATTGTAATGAATGTATCACTAATAGTTTGTTCATATAAGTAAATAGATTAACAACCACTAACTCGTACCATTATTTTAAAGTGTTACCTGGGATTTGTTTTAACATACGGAGTAGAAGTGAATTTTTTATTATTATTATTTTTAAAGCATTTACCAAGTGTTGCTTGATGTAAAGAAGATTCTTTCCCAACACATTGTTAAACAATCATTTTAATGGCTAATTTCTAATAACTAATTTATTTTGTCTTTGCCATAATTTTTACTAGTTATTTAGCAAGTTTAAAGTTTTTAAGTTGCTTAAAGTGTAATGTAAAGATTTAACTAGACTAGGTTAACAAGACAAGTTAACTTAATTAGGCATGTCATTGGATAACAGTGGTTTGTTTTGTAGCCAATCAAACTACCTTACATTTGATCAGTGAAAATCTGTGTAATTGTACGGTAGAGGTCTGCAATCTTGCGGCTGACCCGACCAGATTTCTGTGGTGCGGGAATAAATTTCTGAATAAAGTGCGGGAGCAGTCGGTAACAGGTTCAATTTGGGACAGGAGCGGGCCGTCTAGCAATATCGCTCCCAACTCCCGAGCGAGCGAGCACGCGTATGTAACGTTATGTGTGTGACTGAAACAACGCGATGCTGTGTTTAGCTTGTTTGTTCATTGCTGTGTGTGTGTGTGTGTGTGTGTGTGTGTGTGTGTGTGCGCAAATGAGAGAGAGAGAGAGCTTTGCCTGTTTGTGTGCTTGCTGTTTGTGTGTGTTTGTGTGTTTATACAGACAGCTTGTTATAGGCTGTCTGGACTCTGTAAAGCTGGGTGGATTTCGATTTTGTTCTCCCCCCTGCTCTTTAGCGGGATCAGGTGCGGAGGGTAGAAAACGGGGTGGGTCGGGCAAAGGGACAATAAATGCTAAATATAAGCGAGAGCGTTCGGGTCTGTGCTAAAACCTGGCGGGAGCGGGATTCAAAATTCAAAATATTCCCGTGCAGATCTCTATACGATACTGCACAAGCACAGTAAACTACTGCAGCATGCCAAGTATACATAAATTAGAAACTTACATGATTGTGTTTTGTAATATATGTTAATAAATACATGTTAATTTGACTACCATCTAGAGAACAATATCCACAGACACCATCTTCATACCCAATACATGATTTATTATTATCAACTATCATACACTTTTAAGATTTTAAACACTGTTATTATTAAACGTCACACTATAAAACCCAAAAAGTTAAGGTGATTCAAACCATTTGAGTAATAAACTAATCCTAATAAATACTGTGAACTTAATTCATTTGAGTGAACAAAGCAATTTGAGCACAGATAAATGAAGAGAACTCAAACTAACTGAGTACTGTAAAACCCATTTAGTTAAGTCAACTCTTTCTTTTGAAGAAAGTTTGAACTGTTTGAACTGTTTGAAGAAACCGATTGCAACAAACTATTTGAGTTAAAAAAACTAATCTACTGTATATGAGTAAAGTGAACTTACTCCATTTAAATTGAAGTAATGAGGTTTTTAATTAACTCATCCCCTTCAACACTAAGTTCAAAACTCTTTTTAAATAAGTAGAATTCATTTTCAGTCAACTTTGAGTTAACCACCCTCGTTTCATTTGATAAAGTTGACTGATGGGTTTGACAGTGCAATATATTCAATTTCAAATGTAATAAGGCACTCTGCAATAATGGAAAACAACATTGTTAATGATCCCACAGTGTTTATTAATAAATGATGCTTCTTTTAAGCAGAGTGCTGCTCTGTTTCTCAATGAAAATAGTTCCAAATCTACACAGTGGCATTTTGTTTCTGAATCAGAGCTGGAGCAAGTTGAACTGGTGCTCTAGGCCAGTAGACCCAAAGTGGGAGTGGTGGAACAATAACAGGGTGTTGCTTGGTGATTTCCAAAAATTAAATCAATTTTATTAGACTATTAGAATTACAAAATTTTAGCCATAACACACAGAATATAAAAATAGTAGTTTTCAATATAAAACCAACAACATGTAAATGAAAAGCCACCAGCCTTTAACATTAGATTAACAACACAGCAATAGCGTCAGCTGAGGCAGATTGATTTTATAGCACCAGGTTAAACTTTCTAACAACTTCATGGCAATCAAATACACTAAAAATGAATACAGGCCACAGCTGAGTATTTAGAATGATCTCTGATTAGCGATCTTCAAAATTTAACCAAGAATAGACTTGTGCTAAAAACGTTGTGTCCACCAGTCTCTTTAAATGAGGTTAAATTAAACAAATTAATAAATGACTATAAAAATGATATGGTTGTATGTGTGATTTCCCATATTGCCATGCCTAAATCCCCCACTGTGTTAACTAAATTTGAGTTTTAAATAAATTGACTGAGTGACTAATTCAATGGCTCAATGAACTTCAGTCACCTAGAATAAATAGAACAGTAAATGTTTCTCATTGTTGTTGGCTCACACATCAGGATATCCCACCCAAATTACAAATTAAAAGTGTTAATTGATTTAGCTTTCTTCATTTCATATTTCTATTAAAGGTGCATTATGCAATACTGAGAGTTAGTGGCTGTACACAAGCAGCTGTCCACAGTGGGCTTTAAGCTGTCTCCGTCTCTTGAATGCATCTCTAATATGTTTTCATTTTTATTATATTTCTGGTCATAGAGCTTTGATCTCTGACCCAGTTTGTTTGCTGTCAGCTGCATTATGTATGCCGTGTTTTCCACCAACTGGCAATCCAGATTGTGTAATCTAATCTACAGGCAATCCGCTGTTGGTAAATTGGCAGGTGGTGGGATCAGACCAAAACAAAGACAGACATTCTGACATGAAATGCACATTTGTAAGTAGAAAAACTGTAGCTGTGTTTTGTCAGAGAGATGTAATTGAAGTGTATCAACTTTGGGTATTTCCTAAATCCTCTCACACATTTTAAGGTATTTGATGCCTTAGTAGAGTAAAAAAAGAAGAAGCAAAGAAATCATACAGCTAGTTAAAAAGTGCTGTGATAAAACCGAGGCAAATATAAGGCCTTGATGAAAAAAAGTTATTTTTATCACTTCCCTGCAGGTGACCTTTCAAAAAGTACATAAGTAAAACTTACTATTAATACACTCACCGGCCACTACGATACACCTGTCCAACTGCCCGTTAATGCAAATTTCTAAACAGCCAATCACATGGCTCCAACTCAATGCATTTAGGCATGTAGACATGATCAAGACGATCTGCTTCAGTTCAGACCGAGCATCAGAATGGGGAAGAAAGGTGATATAAGTGACTTTGAACATGGCATGATGTTTGGTGACAGACAGGCTGGTCTGAGAATTTTCACGAATTTTACTAGGATTTTCACGCACAACCATCTCTAGGGTCTAAGAAAGAATGGTCCGAAAAAGAGAAAATATTCAATGAGTGGCAGTTCTGTGAGCACAAATGCTTTGTTAATGCTAGAGATCAAAGGAGAATGGCCAGACTGGTTCGAGCTGATAGAAAGGCAATAGTAACTCAAATAACCACTTGTGACAACCGAGGTATGCAGAAGAGCATCTCTGAATGCACAACACATCGAACCTTGAGGCAGACCACACCGGGTGCCACTCCTGTCAGCTTAGAACAGGAAACTGAGGCTACAATTCACACAGGCTCATCAAAACTGGACAATAGAAGATTGGAAAAATGTTGCCTGGTCTGATGAGATTTCTGTTGCGAAATTTGGATAATAGGATCAGAATTTGGTGTCGACAACATGAAATTATGTATTTATGCTGCCTTGAATCACAGGAACAGGTGGTGGTGGTAGTGGTGTAATGGTATAGGGGATATTTTCTTGGCACTAATGGGCCATTAGTAGCAACTGAGCATCGTGTCAACGCCGCAGCCTACCTGAGTATTGTTGCTGACCATGTCCATCCCTTTATGACGATGGACCGTGTACCTGACGTCTGATGGCTACTTCCAGCTGGATAACATGCAACGTCATAAAGAGTGAATCATCTCAGACTGGTTTCTTAAACATGACATTGAGTTCACTGTTCTCAAATGGCTTCAATCCAATAGAGCACCTTTGGGATGTGGCGGAACGGGAGATTCGCATCATGGATGTGCAGCCGACAAATCTGCAGCAACTGCGTAAAGCTATTATATCAATATGAATTAAAATCTCAGAGAAATATTTCCAGTACTTTGTTGAATATATGATACGTAGGATTAAGGCAGTTCTGAAAGCAAAAGGGGGTCCAAGCCGGTACTAATAAGGTGTACCTAATAAAGGGGCCAGTAAGTGTATGTATATAATGTAATTATATAGAGCAAATTGTATTAAATAATAAAATAAATTCCTTTAAATTGTATTTACATTTAAATTTAGTTATTCAGCAGATGCTTTTATCCAAAGCTTCTTAAAAATGAGGAAGGCATAAACGACTCAACATAAAGATTATCATATGCAAGCATGCAGTTATACACAGAGGGAGTGCTA